CCTCTTCTTTCTTCTTCTATCGAACTCGGGTCCTTGAGCTTGCGAGGCAGGTGGCAGCACTACTGAGCTAAATCCCCGGCCCCACTAGCTCTCATTATTTATTATTATTTATTTATTTTCGATGCAGCATGGCTAAGTTGCCAAGTTGCCCAGGCTGAGCCACGACTTGTGATCCTCCTGCTTCAGCCTCCCAGAACGCTAGGATTACAGGTGTGTGCCACCACCCTGCCTGGATAGCCTCCGTTCTTTATTGGGGAAAACCGCCCTAAATATAGTCAAGCTGCTTTTTAACTGTTTTTTTGTTTGTTTGTCTTTTAACTAAAAGAAAATGTATCCAGGGCTCAGGATTTAGCTCAGTGGTTCTGCCTCCTGCCTCACAAACACAAGGACCCGAGTTTGATCCCCGGTATCCCCCCCAAAAATATCAAAGTCTTTTCTATATCAAAAAATAGTCCCCCAGAGACCATGAGTCTATTCACAGTGGGTACCAAAAACTTATAGCAACTGGAAATATACTTTGGGATAAGAAAATCTACTTAACCTATGACACTGAATTAGGAACCATAACGAAAAAAGACTTAGTCAAATTTCTTAAGTAAAACACAAAACAAACAAAAGAAGAAAATCCAATAGAAGAAACTGAAACATACAAGACACACTGAAAAATGCTGTAATATATACAAGGGTGGATCACAAAATACAGTACATGGGCTGGGGCATTAGCTCAGTGGTTCTGCCACCCGTCTTGCAAGTAAGTGCAAGGGCCTGAGTTCGATGCCTGAAAAAAAAAAAAAAAAAAAGTTAAAAAATACAGTACGTGAAAAAAATACAGTGCGTGCTTAAATAAAAGCTTAGTCGCACTGAGGCATTGCTATCGATCCTCCTCTAAGTCCACCCCGCACTTCGGATTCACTCAGCCCATTGCCCTGCCGCTTTCTGAGGCAGCTATGGAGCCCTCTTTCGTGAGGGTCTTTATGAGGTCGGATAATAAATGCAGTGGATGCCGCTGCCCCGGGCTGTCCAGTGGAAAAGCTCATCAAAATAGTACTGTGTGTTCTCGTCCACCTTATTCTCTGGATCTGGCCCGGTGCGACTGCTGGCTTTTCCTCAACATCAAAATGACCACGAAAGGTAAGCGATTTGAATGAGTTCAGGTCAGCTAAAGGCACTCATGAGAGAGGACTGCAGAGCTGCCTCGGAAAGTGTGAGCGCGATGGGTGAGTGTGGCCAAAGGGGAGTATTTTGAGGGTGTTAACGGCAGTGTGCCTTTTACTGTAACACGTTCTACAAATTCAAGAACATTAGCTCTGCTTTTTTATCATACTTTGAATGAATCTAAATTTGTGCCAATATTTCTTGTAAGTCAATAGAAAATAGTAAAGGTCATGGACCGATATTTATTTTATTAAAGGTGTAATGGCCAACAAACCGCAAATGTTGCGTTTTACTGCTTAGGAAAATCAAAGTAAGAGGATATGGTCATGGTCATATTTTACCGAATAAGTCAGATTATGTTCAAAACAGTCAACTACTAGGTGAAGTGTGTGAGGTTGGGCTTCTGCTAGTGGATATCGGTATAATTTTCCCTAGAGCCTTGTGTATGTGTCTTTTAAAAACTTTAAACTTGTTTTTCCTAGCAGTTGCCATCATTATTTAGCCAAAGTAAATCACTAACCAGATACCAAGGAGCAGTGAATAAAGATGTTCACTGCAGTGTTTCATATATAAAGGTTTGTACTCTGTCTAACTTTCTTGTATCAAAACGTACAGTTCTTGGCCTGGGGACATCGTTCAGGGGCGCCACGCCTGCCTCGCAAGCGCAAGGTCCCGAGTTCGACTCCCAGTGTGGGGCGGGGTGGAGCCTGCCAATTTTTGTAAGCAGAGCAAGAAAATATATTTTACGATGGAAACTGAGTGGTGGGAGGGGTGGTGTGGAGACGCTTTCCCAGGATACTCGGAGGTCCGGTCACGACCGTGTGTTAATCCCCAGCCGCCGGGCACATGGCTGCGTGACCGAGGGATCCCATCTCTGTACCTGGGTAGAAAAGGAGTTGGCACCGGCGAAGGCCTGGGGCGGCCCCCACAGAAACCCAGGGATCAGTCAATTTCACGGTGAATAAAACCTTTTTTTTTGGGCGAACCACGGGGAAAATTCTACGCAGCTTGTGGTATCAGGAAAACCGATGTGTCTCAGGGGAATATGTCCTAAACTCCAATCAAATAAGACAGCGAGCTTGAAAACTTAGCATGTTTCTTCCCTCTCGGCCTCCTGTTCCTAAGTGTAGGGCCAGATCCAGTCATCTCTGCCGTGTGCTTTCTCTGCCCACTGCACCCTTTATTATTTTCCTACTTAATTCCCCCTTCTACAAGGGCTGCCAGTAAAAGACAGGGTAGTCGGTCACATTTTCAATTCAGACGGACTCGAAGTTACACTTTTCTATGAAATACATCTCCGCTATCCCGCGGAACATACTTATACTGACACATTCATTTGCTGTTTGTGGAGTCCTTTATTTTGTCAACTGTAGCAATGTCTTATACATGACATTTATGCGTTATTCGAATGAGCAACCCGGGGGGCCTTTGCTGAGCATCGCTGGGGATTAAAGAATGAGCAAATAGGTGAATGTCTATTTGGATGGAAATACACCGGAGGTGAGAGAAGACTTTTCAAGGTTCTTCATTTCCAAGGAAAGAGCTTGGAATTTCTTCCCTGAAAAGAACTCTAGTTTGTGGACTGGCCTGTGTGTGTGTGTGTCTGGGTGTGTGAGGTACCAGGGATCGAACTCAGGATCTTGTGCTTGCAAGGCAGGTGCAGTGCCACTGAGCCACATCCCCAGCCCTACAGCCTGGCTTTTTAACCTAATACCAAACAGGCCAGGCATGGTGCCACCCGCCTTTAATCCTAGCACTCAGGAGGCTGAGGCAGGAGGATCACAGTGAATTGGAGGTCAGCCTGGGCTACATGGGGAGACCCTGTCTCAAAAAAAAATCAAACACTAGGTCTTTCTGCCTCTTTCCCTGCTTCCTTTCCTTTCTCCCTTCTCTCTTTTTTCTTCTTTCTGTGTCTCCTTTTCCTTTTCTCTTTTCCTCTTTTTTGAGTGCTTTTCACTCATTGCTATTGTAACCAAAAAGAAAAAAATTGGAAATGTTTTAGATTCACACCTATTAAAAGATAAAGAGCTACGAGACAAGAGGCAAGGATCAGTATTTGCTCAGCCCACGTGGGGAAGGCTGCCCGGAGTGACCTCACAGGGGTGCAGATAGGGTTGCGAGGTCTCTCGGCCACAGTGGGGGACGACCCGCCCGCCCGCCCTCCCAGTGTCAGGAAGAGCTCTAGGTTGTGTGGTGAACGCCGCGTGCCCAGAGGGGCGGCTGTGGTCCACCGGAGCGCATTCCGGTGAGCAGGGAAATCATCTCTCAGAACCTCACCGTGTAATCTGCATCCTGCAGAAGTCGCAGGGTGCGGCCCGCGCTTCTCTCCCAAATATTCCAAACAGCCCTCGCATTTACGACGGCTCATAAACATCCTTCTTGCAGCGGCGGTGCTCGGGGAACTGGCCACTTCCTGCCAGCGCTAATCTGCGTTGTCCTAGATCCCTGCATTTCCTTGTTTCCAGTCTTCTCAACAGTTTTCCCGGGTCTGTTTCCAGACAGCTGCTGCACCCCATGTAAAAGTCAGAAAATAAAATGAAGATTCTTCAGGGCGAGACCCAGCACTGGCTGATTCCAGCGTTCCTGGCTGCTGCTTATTTCTGCAGCGTCGTCTGGGGTCAAGGTAAGTGAGAACTTTAAAGACTTAAGAGTCTAGCCGGGCACGGTGGCGCCTGCCTGTAATCCCAGCACTCGGGAGGCTGAGGCAGGAGGATCGCTGTGAATTCGAGACCAGCCTGGGCTACACAGTGAGTTCCAGGTCAGTCTCAACTGCATAGTGAGACCCTGTCTCAAAAAGACAAAAACAAAAACAAAAAAAAACAAAAAAAAAGAGTCTGGCCCTTGTGGTTGTGATTATCATTAAAAAAAAATGTGTCCTCATGCGCATCACTGGTCCAGCTGTTTCTAGGCAGGGCATGCTTTGGCTTTTACACTGTTTTGCCAACCACTTGTGCTGTGACTTGGATGTCTCACAGCCCCAGAACATGGCCACCCTTCGGTCGAGAGTTCAAGCTCTTCCGAAAAGGCTGTTTCACCAGTGAAAATCAAACTCGCGCGCTGTGAAATCAGTTCTCAGCGAAGAGCTGCCGCACGTGTATGTGTTTGCATTCTAACCGTGCCTCGCCTCCAAGGCTCTGCTAAATGTTTCTGCTGCTTCATCCCCAGTCCTTAATTTTGCTTTTTGCCTTAAAAACTGAGCACAAGCCGGACATGGTGGTGCACGCCTGTAATCCCAGCACTCGGAAGGCTGAGGCAGGAGGATCGCTGCGAGTTTGAGACCAGCCCGGGCTACATAGTGAGTTCCAGGCCAGTCTCAACTACATAGTGAGACCCTGTCTAAAACAAAACAACTACAAAAACAAAAACTGAGCACATGGTCTAAAGGTGAAGTGCATTGAAGAAGCTACAGATTTTACACTTTAAACATTTTTTAAACGACTGCATGCTTTATTTTCATTGCATTTAGTTTGTGAAGTCTGTGGTTTGCATTACTGGGACCTACGTTTCAATTTTTGATTTCACTCATTTTTATAAAGGAAATCTGCAGTTGAAAAACTAGTATTGGTGGGCCACCTCTGACCCACAGGCTGATTTTATACATAAAGTTATTTTTGTCCCTCTCCTTAAGACTCCTCCCCTATGTACAGAAGCTTTGTTTCCATTTTCCCTTCTGTTTTCACTTTTTTCTCGTCCCTCCCTTTCTCCCTCTCTCCTCCCTGTTCCTCTTCCCAATTGAACATTTTCTTCCCATTTTTCTGTTTCTCACACCAGAGAAACAGTGCGGTATTTAAACGTGTGTCTGATCTATCTCACTTAAGAGTATGGCCTCAAGGTCCACCCGTTAGCTATAAATGTCTGGAGCTTATTCTTCTTTGTAGCAGAACAGTGCTCCATTGTATTAAAAACCCCACGTACCTGTGCACTCGTAGGTTGATGGGCATTTGGGCTGTTTCCAAGACTTAACTATTAGAAACTCTGCTGCTATAAACATGGGTGTGAGTAGATCACTGTGGTATAATGTTTTTAATTCTTTCAGGAAGATACCAAGAAGAGGTCTAGCTGGCTCAAGTGGAACCTCTAGTTTAGGTCTTTGAGGTGTCTCCATACTGATTTCCGTAGTGGTTGCACCAGTCCGCACTCCCACCAACAATGGAGAAGGGTTCCTTTCTCCCCACAACCCCGCCAGCATTTGTTATTGTGTGATGTCTTGATAGCAGCCATTCTTTGTGGGGTGAGGTGGGATCTCAGGGTTGTTTTCATCTGCATTTCACGAAGGACCAGTGACAGCGAGCATTTTTTCATATGCTCATTTGCCTCTTCTAATTCTTCCTCTAAGAAGTGTCTTTATTTCAGATGCCCATTTTTGGATTGGATCTTTCAATTTTGGTGGTCTGATTTTTCTTGAGTTCTTTGTATAGTCTAGACATCAGTCCTTTCTCTGAGGAACAGCTGGTAACATTTTTTCCCCCACACTGGGTCGTCTCTCCACTCTGTTGGTGGTTTCTCTTGCTGTACCAAAGCTTTTTAACAAGATGAGGTCTCGTTGTTGATTCCATGGAGTTTTCTTGGAGCACAGGCACGCACCTTTGTTCTTGATCTACGGTGGCAGTCGGGCAGTGACGCCGGATAAGTGTGCCCCTGCAACGCCAATCTGTCCCTTTATGGGAAGCCTCGCTCACCCCCGAGTGGGCGCCGCGCACCCTGGTGTGTGTAACGTGACACTGCCGGGCACACTCGCTTCTCTGCAGTGCGGGAGGGAGAACCACGCGGGCCCGCGTTCCAAGCCCTTTCCCCGAACACACAGCCTGCAGCTCGGAGACCAATTCCGCCGCTCTTGTGTACACGCGAGAAAGACCACTTTCAGAGCTCACAGCTGGAGGTGCAGTCGTGGAACCCTAGACGTCGCTCTCCAAACTCAAGGATGCGCGCAGGTCCCCGGGAGTGCAGAGGGGCGGACCCTGCAGTCCGGGGCCGCGTGGCAGTGGCTGAATTCGGGCCTGGCCCGGGGGCGCTTCCGGGAGCCTCCAAGGGGTGCACCGGACACGCGGGCCCAGCAAGTTCTGTTTACACGCGAGCTTGACAGGGTGCGTCCTGGGTGTCCGGGTCACGAGGGAGCTGAGTGACAGCGCGGTGGCGGTCACGACGGCGGCGATGGCTTTTGCCTTCTCGCAGCTCCCTGGCCCCGGAGAGATGGGAACCGGCCATGGAATACAAGAGAAATGCCGAGGGCCGTGGGCAAGGCGAGGTGGGGAGCCGGGGGACCTCGGTGGGCTGTGGGAGGCTTCAGCAGAACCGTTAACGCTTCGGTGACAGCACCGCGGGGCTGTGCCTCTTGGTCACCGGCATGGGCCGAAGAGAAAGCAAGACGCGAGGCAAGTCTGGCCCTGGGAGAGGCCGGCGTTCAGGAAGTCGGCCCGGGCGGCAGACGCAGGCCGGGCACACGGGAGCCCCAGAGGTGGCGGCGTCTCGGGCTGGTGGAGTACTACTGTGCCACGAAGAAGGCCAGCTCGCGTGGCCGTGGGCTGACAGACGCACCGTGACCCAAATCGGACACACGTGCTTCGGCAGTGCCCGGGTTCTCCTCGAGGAGAAACCCAAAGTGCTGTGTAAGTAGGAGGCAAAAGGAACGAGATCGCAGGAAACGGAGCTGGAGAGAAGGGAAAATGGGAAGAACCGAGCCGCGGACGTGTGCGGCCCGAGGCCGTGTGACCGGCGCCGCCAAGGGACCAGAGAAGAGGCGCCCAGGGCGGAGACGGGGCCCCGTCCGTGCTGTGGGGGCCTTGCTGCGTCTCCCCTGGCAGCTGTGAATTTGGAGCCGGATTTCTTTCCGTGCACATCTTCCGTTTTGTTCCTTATTTATACTTTGGGCTTCTCGGGAAGAGAAGCCATGTGATATTGGAGCTTGTGTGTCTGATTTATTTTTGTCACCTACACATGACTCACGTTTATCTTTTCTTTTGTACCGCGGATTGAACGCTGGTCCTTGTGCTTGCGAGGCAGGCGGCAGAACCACTGAGTTAAATCCCCAGCCCTCAAGTTTATCATTTTTTATGGCAGAGTAGTACTCCATGGTGTGTAAATACCACATTTTCTTTACGCATTTATCTGCTGCTTCCAAGGGCCTCGTCCGAGATTGAACTGTTAGAAACTGTGCTGCCATAAACACGGGTGTGCACATGTCCCCGTGATGTGATGTCTTTAACCCCTTCGGGAAGATTCCTAGGAGGGAAGTGGCTGGCCAAATGGAATCTCTAGTTTTCATTTTTTTTAGGAATTCCCACACCGAAGGACAAGTGGCCAATAAATACATCTCTGGCCATTAGAGAAATGCAAATTAGCTGTGAATTTGAGCAAGTATTGGCTGCTCCTTTGAACCTTTATCCATGAATCTGGGATAGCAGTGTATCTTCGTGAGGGTTTAAAACAGCGTTTGCACTCAAGGTTAGGTGAAAGAAGGGTGACGGGCAATAAATAGCGGGGATGAGCGCGGGCTCTCCGCCAGCTTCGCCTTCACCTTCTCACCAAAGTACTTCCTCTGCGATTCTGGAACAGTCACGGAGCGTGCCCCAAATGTTTTGAAGTTTCAACGCCTTACGCAAGAGGGAGAGTTACAGGTTTTTGAGACGTGTGAAGAAAGATAGAATATTCCGGACCGAATCGTGACCCATGTCACGAGTCACGCGTCCGACAGGTGCAGATCGGGTGTGCCGGGTGAGGGGCCCAAGTTTACTGGCTCAATCAGCTTTCCTCGGCCTGCGCGCCTCCCTCACCGCCTCCTCCAACATTCTGCTAGCATCGTAGGCCTGTAACACTCATCCATATCGACCGCCACACGTCCTGGCCTCCCGCAGTGAGACCCGCAGGCGACGCCGGGAGCGTGGCTCATAAAGGCTGACGTGTTCCATGGAGCACGATTCACTCTTGTAACTAAGACATCTGACAAGATGGGCTTTGGGTATTAGCGAAAGTCAGAGCACCGCCTCCTCCTCCTCGGATGGTGTCAGAGCTCAGTGCTCTTTGGCAAACGGGAGTTCCACGGGCGAAAGCCCAGCGCTCGTACTTTCGCCTTTAGTTTGCAAATGGATCAAGTCAGCGATGGCGCTGTGGAAAGACCCCGGTTCGAGGCTGGTGAGGTCTCGTGTATTTTATTTATTTATTTACTTACTTACTTACTTTGGATTTTTTGAGACAGGGTCTCACTGTGTAGTTGAGACTGACCTGGAACTCACTATGTAGCCCAGGCTGGTCTTGAACTCACAGCGATCCTCCTGCCTCAGCCTCCCGAGTGCTGGGATTACAGGTGCACACCACCATGCCAGGCCTCATGTATTTTAATTATGCCACGTCTGCTTCTTCGCTTAGTGCCTCTCTGTCTCCTTTCCAGTGTCCGCCCCTACGAGGCTGAGGTATAATGTGCTGTCTGAGGATAGCGTCCAGATCTCCTGGAAAGCTCCCCGGGGCAAGTTCGGTGGATACAAACTTCTGGTGACTCCGGCTTCAGGTAAAAATGTCGGCTCTTTTCTAGAACATCAGCAACTTTTCATACACAGCTAATTAAAAGCATAGTGCCAAGTGTGGCTTTAGGGTCACTTTTAGCTTTTTCTTTTATTTAATCTTTTGGGTTTGAGGTCTTCCCCTCTAATCCAGGGACTAATGTTCCACATCATGTAAAGAGTGACTTGGATTCAATGTAGTTACTTCTCTTCCAGCCACATCTTCAGGCTAGCTGGCCATGGCGGTGTATACCTGTCATCCCAGCATTTGGGAGGCTGAGGCAGGAGGATCTTCATGAGTTTGAGGCCAGCCTGGGCTACAGAGTGAGACCTTGTCTCAAAACAAGCAAACACACAAAAAACCAAAACCAAATTTCCAGACTATCACAAAGCCTGACTACCTCTCTTTCAGCATGGAATAAATACTTTTGGTTTTACCAACACGTAAAAAATGTAATACACCGGGGTGTTCAATAGCTGTGACTATATTATAATTATATTATAATTAACTAGGTTGGTAAATATTAGTCAGCAAGTAAACACTACACTTAGAAGGTTAAGGAGACACTGTGAAAATACGTAATAAACCCAAACAGGAAGGACTGTAGTGGATGGGTTTGTATACAGTAGTCACATAAAAAGATTTAATTGGCTGGGTGCAGGGGCGTGCCTGCAGTCCCAGCCACTGAAGAAGCTGAGACAGGAGGTTCACAAGTTTGGTCAGTCTGGGTAACCTGGCAGGAACGTCTCTCAAAAATAGAAAGAAAATAAAGTAGGAAGGGCTGGGGGCGCAGGTCGATGGGTTAAAATCTATCCCATAAAACACTGTAATTGAATTTCTCTCTTTCATATTTTATTTATTTATTTTCTTGGTACCGGGGATCGAACGCGGGTCCTTGTGCTTGCGAGGCAGGCGGCGGAACCACTGAGCTACATCCTGGGCCCTTTCATATTTTATGTGCCTATTATATGAATATAATCAACCAAGCCCCCGTTGAGGAAGTGCATGGGTGTTTGGAGACAAAGAGGGAATACAAACTGGACTTCTGTGCTGGTCTGTGGCAGTGAGGTCTTCGGAAGGCCTGGAAGAAACACAAGCTATTAGGTCTCGCCTCTGAAATCCCGAGCCCGTGTAGCACTTTGCCAAGATTGTTGGGCAAACTAATGAATAGACGGGAAACAGAGTAGCGACTGCCGTAGAGTGAGCAGGAGCGACTGACCCAGGACGGCTGCCCAGGAGTTCTCGGGGAGCCTCTCACGCCCAGCGCGTCCAAGGCTCTGTGTCCACACAGTTACATATCGAACACACAACAATAGCATTTCCTGTGATACAGCTATGTAAATAATGTTTAATAATTATCTATACAATATTTATTTGTGCGTATTGGTGGTAAACATAGCTATGTGAAGCTGGGCTTCTGTTGGAAATCTTTCCCCGACTGATGTAAGGGAGGCAGACGGAAGTTGTGTTGTTCATGAATGTGGACATCTCACCCAGCCTTTGATTTAAAATCTCAAACAAAAGCAGATGAAACACCTGACTTCTTCATTGGTCACAGAAAAGGACACTTCTTTTATTTTAATTAATTAATGAATCTATTAATTCCTTGCTCGGCTTTTCAGACAGGGTGTCACTATGTAGCCCAGGCTGGCCTTGAACTCCCTGTAATCCTCCTGCCTCAGCCTCCCAAATGCTGAGATCATAGGCGTGGACCACCACACCTGGCTAAGAAAACTCTTATGAAGAAATCTTACTTCTAGGCTCATTAGAATGACTTCTGGTAATACTAGGGGCGTGCTCTTCCCATTTGGCCTACAGAAGTTTTATCTGTAGAAACCAACACTTGGCTTTTGCTTGGCATCAGGAATTGAACGCAGGACCTTGCTCTTGCCAGGCAGATGCAGTGCCACTGAGCTAAATCCCTGGGACTCAACACTAGCCTGTGTCAAATTGAATATTGGAATATGGCCCACCTTTGAATTTCTTTGATTGTTTTGTTTTAAAAATAAGGAATCATGGAACATTTAAATTTAAAGATTCCTAAACATCATTACGACTCTAGAGGTCAAAATACAAGTTACTAATTTGTGGTGCCTTTGAGAATTCCCTATATCAAATCTTGAAAGGTCACTTTTTTTCTTCTAGGTGGTACTTTAACGTTTCCTGATTAACCACTAGTAATACTGAACTTTTAAGGACCCCAAAGAATCACAGAATCTGAGTAGGGACTTGGGGTTTCTGGAGCAGATCTCATCCTGATGCTTCTATCCCTAAAAGCTGATGCCCAATTTCAATGACAAGTACCAGTGACAAACCACCCCAGGTGAATATTGGGTTCGTTACCCAGTGTCCCTAGTGCAGTGGCCGAGCCAGTCAGCAGGCTTTACCTTCTGGTGTGGACTTGATTGCACATCAGAAACGGAAAGCGCAATCAGTACCGCTAGCCATAGACGTATTTGTAAATGTTTTGGCACCGTGAGACGTGGTCCAAGCCTTATCTATGCCAGTCTTTCTCAAAGAAAGCCCCATGGCCTTTTGCAGGATGTTAACAGCTGTTAGGCAACCAGATGATTTAGCTGTTAAGTAAATTTGAGAAATGCTGGTTCAGACAGAGTTTAAAGCATTTTTTATTGCAAGATTCTCAAAGCCTTCAATAAAATAAGAACTCTGGCTCTCAAAGTGCGATTCTGAGATACAGGATTTTCTAAGGAATTTTTAAAAGCGAAGCACATATTATGAAAGATTTGCTTGTTGCCCGTTGTGGTAGACAAGTTTTAAATGGCGTAAGAAGTTTGTGAAGCCAGAGTTAGCATCTTGGGCCCAAATGAATTTAAGAAAATGGAAGAGAAAGACTCAGTTTTTCCTTTAGTAGGGGTGACATTGATTCTGGCAACAAAACTTTGGGCATTAATTTTATTAGAATATGATTGAAGCACAGCCTGTTACATTTTATTAATTCTGCCAGTTTCAGAGCCTCTTCTCTGTTCCTGCTGGGAGGAGAGAAATTTTAAATTAATTTTACTTTTCTCAGATGCAGTAACGGTTGTCAGAAGTTAGAGAAGGGTATGTTTGAAGCTTTGCAAACGAGCTGCGCGTGCGATCGGCAGCATTTCCGGGCAAGCCTTGGGGTCAGTCCGCTTTCTTGGTGGAGAGATCGTGGGTTTTGACATCTGTTCACGCAGCCGCAGAGCTCAAAGATAGCGAGGCGCCCGCAAGGCCCGACGGGAGATGAGTGCACTGCGCCTCGGCCCAGGGGCCCGCAGAGAGCAGGGAGCGAGAGCAGGGAGCGAGAGCAGGGAGCGTGTAGTGCTCGGCCGGCCTGGGTTCGCGTTATCTTGTGCGGTGCTTTCTCCTACTGTAGAGGGAACGGTGTGTTGAGATGAAAGATTTTCGTGACTGTGCTTTTACATAATTCACACAACGGCTTAAATTATCCAAGAAAAAGAGACCGCTGAAAATGAGAATGAAACTTATTAAGCGCCGTACACGTGGACATGCATTTTAAAATCTTTTCCTTTTCATGCACGGCAAAATGTTGCATGGCACAGTTGTTAGTAGCACGATAAAGACATTGTAAAAAGGCTTTGCCGTTAAACTCCATTGCTGAGGGCCGGGGATTTGTCTCAGTGGTTCCACCGCCTGCCTCGCAAGCGCAAGGGCCCAAGTTCGATCCCTGGTACCAAAATAAACAAATAAGAAATAAAGTCCATTGCTGGTTAATAACACGCCTGGATGCACAGTTAACCCTATTCCTTAGGACTGATTTCTCTCTCTGTTTCATTACAGGAGGAAAAACCAATCAACTGAATCTCCAAAACACAGCAACTAAAGCAATTATTCAAGGTCTAATGCCGGAGCAGAACTACTCGGTTCAAATTATCGCATACCACAAAGACAAGGAGAGTAAGCCGGCGCAGGGCCGGTTCCGAAGTGAGTACGGCAGCTCTCGGGTGTGGCCCAGAGCCGAGGCAACCCTAGGTGTCTTTTGGACTTGCGGATTTTTCTTAGATTCTGTTGAGACTTTCCTGAGCCCTTCTCTCTGCCCTTCCCTTCCTCGCTTCCTGCGCTCCTCCCCCATCCTTGAAGTTCCCGCCGTGAAATGCCCCTGCCTGGCCCCAGCCTGGCTCAGCGCCCTCTCCCTGTGCTTTTGGGGACCCAGAGCCCCTCTCCGGCCGAGCCCTCCCGCCCGCAGCTCTCTGTCCCTGACAAGCCCTCGAGGCTCCTTCTTCCGCTCGTGAATGACAGCTGGGTGTCCTGTGCCGGGTCACAAGGGCCCAGTGGGTGTGCAGAACCTGGCGGTCGGTCGGTCGGTCGGTGCCGCGTCTGTCAGAAGCTTTTCCTACTATTGAGTTTGAGGCCCAACCACACAGGCCCCGATTATTCCGCCTGCCGGAAGCATTCGTTCGCCCCGTTCACACCAAGATGAGGCATCTCGCCCGCCTGCCTGCGGCGTGTGCAGTCCTGTGGTCGCCGGCCCTAGGCGCGGGCCAACCCCTGCCAGTGTGGACGGTGCATCCCGGGCCAGGTGCCCTCTGCCCGAGGCGGCCTTTCCAACCCGAAGGACACACGCTTTCGTGCTGTCGCTGCAACAAGATGAAGCCGTCACGGTTACCTGCAGCTGGCTCACTGCTGAAGTGCACTCCTTGGAGAACCCAGCTTGTTATTCAGATAAAACCACGACACTAAGAGCCAGCAGCGCAGGGTGATGGACCCGTGTCCAGCGTGCAGCGTTGGTGACCGTGTCCTCCACATCGCCACAGCTGCCTTCTTATTCTCTTGAAGCAAATCATAGACATTATTTCCAAGAGATTTTTCTTTCTTGTATTTTAAATTCTCCCAGTTCTGCCGTGGGATCCATCCACAATGCAGGGAGGCCAGCATTCCGGAGCCGGCAGCATGTTCTTTCTCTCTGGATTCCCCACTCACTTTTCCCTTGTCTCTTCCTTCCTGAGTCATGCTTTGTGACACACATTTGTGACTCTGTCGAAAGTTAAACCCAGGCCACATATGGCTTTGTTAAATTGCTCCCTCTTAAAACTTCTGACGGAGACATTGAATGAATCTCCCTGTCAGCAGGACACGCAGCTGTTAGGAATATACAGGATGTCAGGTGGGGCGGTGCACGCCTGTGATCCCAGCACCTGAGAGGCTGAGGCAGGAGGATCACCGCAAGTTCAAGGCCAGTTTGAACTACACTGCAAGAACCTATGTCAAAAATAAATGAAGAAATAAAGAAAGAAGGAAGGAAGGAAAAAGAACATGCAGGAAATCTTTCAGATTTACGTTGTCTGGTGCTGTGGAAAAGGGTTTTATGTTATTTTCAGCACAAACCAAGCCTCTCCCCATCCACTGGCACTTCAGCGTTCAGCCTCTTGCATCCTTACGTAGGTGACAGAAATAACTTTCAAAGTCTGTGAGAAACAGTAAAAGACAGAAGGCAAAATGATCCATTTCACACAAGCCTGAAAAGTTTGCAGTTGAGTATTTCAAGCGTTCCACCAACTGAACAGCAGAAGAAACATGGCCCAACAGGAGCCCTTTCTCAGTGGCTGATGTTCAAGGCACTTGGGGGAAATTCATTGGTCCTCAGCATGCTTGGCTCCATGGAGAACCAGAGAGAAACCATTGAGTGGGTTAGCGAGATTGGTTATATGTAAGCAGCTCTTGTTCCTAAGCTGCGTCGTTTTTATTGGCAGCGTAGAGGCACGTGTCCTACTCAGAAAATAGTCTCTAAAAATGAAAGGAAAAGAATGTTGCTGGTATGGCTTTCTTTTCTTTTCCATTTGCATTTCAGTTATACTCTTGCTTCTTGTGAGGTGGAGCTAAAACCTGGTCTCATCTGCCCAGGGACATTTCAGAGTTGGATCCAAGACAGTGAAGGTATAGGGTGACCCTGGAGACAGAGCTGTGGCTAGAGGTTTTCAGTCAGTGCAGGGTTGAGATTCTCTGTAAGTCCAGTGTTTGGGCACACAGGGAAACAAGACACAATCTTTGGATTTTAGAGACAGAAAGGCAGGTGTTTTAGTTACTTTTCTCATTGCCAAGACACTGCCTGACACTCAAAGGAAGAAAGGTTTATTTCAATTCATAGCTTGTAGAGGTTTCAGTCCATATTCAGCTTCCAAAGCAGGGTGTCCTGGCAGAGGAGAAACGGTCCATGGCAGGGCAGGCAGGATGCAGCAAGCCATCAAGGGAATAGGGAGGATATGTATCTATACATATTCTCCTTCCAGGCCAGGCCCACAGTGACCCACCTCTTCCCGCCAGCATCACACCCACCTGTAACCCCCATCTGTGAATTAATCCAGTATCATGCACTGGGGGTCCAGTCACTTCCAAAAGCCCCTGCTGTGAGCACACGGCTTTAGGGGACATCTAGATATAAGCCAGGGCTGGGGATGTAGCTCAGTGGTTCTGCCGCCTGCCTTGCACGTGCAAGGACTAGAGTTCAATCCCTGGTACCCCCCCCCAAAAAGATGCAAGCTGTAGCAGCAGACCTGATCTGCAACATATTATGAGTCAACAACCACCACAAGCAACGCAACCCTTTCCAGCCTTGGTTTCCCCATTTGCAGAGGAGGGTGACAACACTGATCTCACCAGCGTACAGAAGGCCACGGTCAGCACTGTGACCCAGGCCACTTGGTCTGTGACAGTCTGTTGCTAACTGGTTGTGCCCCTCATGACGGGGGTAAGAGCTTTGCGTAACATATCCGTTACCCTTCTGAAGTGACTGCCATTTCTCCTTATCCATCTACACATTGCCATTATGGTTTATTCCAGCAAACATTCATTTCAGCTGCCCATTTTTCCTTTTGGTAGCAGTGTTTCGCCAATCCCTGCCTGGAAAATCTGCCCAGATCACCAGTCTGCCATCCAAATCACCTTCCCCGTGACGTTTCTCTACATCTCTGAAGTTGTCATTCCTCCCTAAACCCCTTCCTACTGGGAGCCTCGCTCAGCACAATTTTTCTCATATTAAAGTTGCAGACTTTTTTTTTTTCTTTCAAAATGTAAGCAAACTGGGACCCCAGCGCAGGCCTGGGGTTGAATTCGAAGTTGTGGCGAAAGTCCAGTGGGAGGTGATGAAATGGCAGCAGGGTGTGTGTAAATGTAAGGCTGCTTTAGTATCCAGTCACGTTTCAGGAATGGAAGGAGAGAAGGGAGCCAAAGAATGGGAAGATGAGGAAGGGCTTGAGGGACAGGAGAGAACCGGGGTGATGTCCATACAAACTGAGAAAAATATTTTGAAGAAAGGAGTGCTCCCCAGTGCCAGTGCTTGTAGCGAAGCTGAAGAATACGATCTTAAAAAGTGGATGTAACAAATTTGTCAGTGGGCCTAGAAGGGCGGGAGTATCTTGCTGTTGTTGGAGCCCAGAATGTAATCTTTGGGTATGAGAAAGGCGAGGAAGAGCGTTAGGGACGGGAAGGATAGAATGAGGGAGCTACGTCCTTGACGAGCTTTGAGCGTGAACCTCCTCAGCAAAGATGGAGGCAGGAGAGAGAGGAAGGAATGGGTCCGTCGCCTGCAGCAGACGGCGAGGGAATCTGCTCCCCCCGCCGTGGACGTGTGGTCCCCACAGGATGGATGTAACCAGCAGACCAAACATCCCGCCGTTGGCTGCTCCTGCGTTCTCACAGGACATCTTCGCACAGAAACTTGCCAGTTGGCAACAGTCTCGGAGGCCTCAAGTAGCTTAAGCTGCCAAGCAACGCACAGAGGCTGCCCTGGGGCTGGGAGCAGAGAAGGCCGTGCAGAGTTACGAGCGGTGCAGGCTGGGAAGCAGCCAGCAGCAGTCTTTGTGGTCTCCGAATATGTCCTTATTAAAGTGATCCCTACTTATTAACAGGGAAACATGTTTTTTAAGTTTAAAAGGAAACTTACGGGGTTCTGCACTGCTGTGGCCGATGGAGCAACCTCAGATGAGAGTACTTGTGCCCGAGACCTTTCCAGAATGGGCCTCCGCTCGTAGGCGAGGTCTGGAGACATGCAGGTGTGGCTTGGGTCCTCGGCCAGCACTCATTGGCTCTGTGAGACACGTTTAAGCCTCCTGATTTTTCATTCCCATGTGCACCGGATGGGGATGACCAGGCCCACTTCACAGCCATCCTTTATTTGATACATCTGTCCACAGTGAAGACACAGTCAGGGTTAGGAAGTTTTTCCGTGTCTCACAACTTTGCTGAAGAAAAAAAAAAGCCAGCAGTTGAAAGAAAGAGACAGGCATGGGGGTGCAGAGGGAGGGAAGCGGGTGCAAAAGGAATGAAGATGTGTTGTGCACGGCACCAACTGCCCGCAGGAGGGTGGTCATGTACCACACACGGGGGTGATGAACAGCAGCAGTTCGGATATTTGGGGCTGGGTTTGTGTCACGGAGCTAATTTCTACTAATGCTGTCAGAGCTTGCAAGTGTTTTAGTAAAATTCACTGAATGTTTTCCTTTAGACCTGATCGTAACATGAGGCTATATTTCTACTCTTTTCTTTCAGTTAAAGATTTAGAAAAAAAGAAGGATCCGACGAAGCCCAGAGGCAAGGCGGTGGAAAAAGGCAATGACACTAACCCAGCTTGGCCAGAAGGTCAGATGGCTTGGATGAGCTCATTCTGGGAGGGCTTGCTGTGGGTCGAGGGTCCCATCCGAAGAGTCCTATAATCTACTCTGAAAATCAACCCTGGCTTCTTCCTGCTCCACACCTGAGTGCCTGTCCACACCTGAGTGTGTGACCTTGAAGTCACCTCTTCATGCACAATCACACCTACATTTGTGCTCCTGGTTCTGGGTGTGGCCTTCGCTGAGGCCCTCAGCACCACGCCCGGGAGCAGAGCCACCAGCGGTGACCAGCACAGGCGCCCTGGGCCTGCCTGAGCCCAGCTGAGGATTGTGTCATGTGTGAATAACGCGGTGACTTCATCCTTTCCCGTTGTACCCTCTTTATTTCTTTCTCTTGCCTGACTACGCTGGCTGTGTTTCCAGGACTGTGCTGACCAGGAATGGAGATAATGGACATCCTTGTCTTGTTCGTGATTTTAGAGAAAAAGCTTTCAGTTTTTCCCCTTTTAACATGATACAGGAGGTAGGTTTGTAGAAAGTGGCTTTATCAGATCGAGAAAAGGTCCTTCTGTACCTATTTGCTTCAGGGTTTTTAATCATAAATGGACGTTGGAGTTTGGAAGAGGTTTTTTCTGTCTATTGAGGTGATCATGTGAGTTTTTGCCCTTGCTTCTGTTTATGGGATGGACTATATTTATTGATTTTGGAGCATTGTGTCCCGGGGGTGAAGCCTACTTGGTTGTGGTATAAGTTTTTTTGATGACTTGTATCATTGTTTGCCAGTATCTTGTTTAAGATTTTTGCATCTATGTATATTAGAGAGATTGGCCTGTAGTTCTCTTTTTTTGATTGGATCTTCATCTAGTTTGGGGATCAGGGTAATTCTAGCTTCCAAGAATGATTTTGCGAGTATACTTCCTTGATTTCATCAAAGAGTTTGAGGAATATTGGTGTTAGATCTTCCCTGAAATTCTTATAGAATTTGGCAGTAAGTCCAAGATCTGGGCTTTTCTTAGTTGGTAGGTTTTTAATTACAGCTTCAATTTTATTGCCTGTTATTGGATTGTTCAAGATTTTTAAGACTTTGTACTTTAGTTTTGGTAATTCCTATCTATCCAGGAATCTCTCTATTTCTTCTGAGTTCTCCAGTTTTTGGAAGACATATTTGTGAAGTAGTTGCTAAAAATTTTCCGGGTTTTGGAAGTGTCCACTGTGATGAAAGTTAAAAATCTTTTCCATTTGTAATTGCATTGACTTGTATTTTTTCTTTCCTTTTTTTTTTTGGCTAAGGATTTGTTCATTTTGTTTATTCTTTCAAAGAACCAGCTCTTCGATCCATTGTTTCTTTGTATTGTATTTTTTTAGTCTCCATTTCATTAATATCTTTACTGATCTTTATAACTTCCTTTTTTGTACAGGCTCTGGATTTGGGTTGTTCTCACTTTTCTAGAACTTTGAGGTGCACCTTTAGGTTGTTTACTTGGGCTCATTCTGTTTTTTTGATGTAAGCATTCTCAGCTACAAAGTGCCCTTATAGGTCAGATTTCATTGTGTCCCATAAATTCTAGTGGCACTATCATTTAATTCTAGGAATAATCTTATTTCTTCCTTTGTTTCCATTAATTATGCAAGAGTATGTTGTTTAATTTCCATAGCTTCTGTGGTGTCTTTTGCTATTGATTTCTAGTTTCATTGCATTGTGATGTGCTGATAGGCATGGACTAATTTTGATTCTTTTGCATCTACTTAAGCATGCTTTATTAGTATGGTCTATTCTGGAGAAAGCAGAATAAAAAATGTGAAGAAAAAGAATGTGTATCCTGTTGTTGTTGGGCAGACCACTGTCGATATCTACTAAGTCCATTAGTTCAAAGGTTTGGTTGAACCCTGGCATTTCCTTTCTTTTTTATTTTTCTTTTTTTTTTGATACTGGGCATTTTACTCAGGACCTTATGCTTGCCAGGCAGGTGGCAGTGCCACTGAGCTAAATCTCTGATCCTGGTAGCATTTCTTTGTTGATTTTTTGTTTAATTGACCGCTTTGTGGGAGTAGGGCACTGAGGCCCAGCTCCCCATAGTCATACCGAGGTCTGGCCAATCTTTCATGTCCATTAGTGTCTGTTTTGTGAAGCTGGTGCACTATAGTTTGGTGCATATAAGTTTATAATTGTTACCTCTTCCTGTTGGATAGTTTTGTTAACCGGTATGTAATGTTTTTCTTTGCCTCTTTTGATCAGCTTTGAAAAATCACATTTGATCAGCTTTGGCTTAAATTCTACTTCATCTGAAAATAGGATTGCTACATCTGCTTGTTTTCAGGTTTTCACTGCACGGAATAATGTTTTCTAGTCTTTGATCTTTAGTGTTTGAATATCTTTTTGTGTTAAATTTGTTTCTTTTATGCAACATATGTATTTGTTTCTTGGTCTGTTCTGCTAATTTGTATCTTTGATTGGCCAGTTGAGTCCATTCACATTAATAGTTATAACTGACAGGCATTGACTTATCCCTGTCATTGTATGATTTTCTTGTTGCTATTTTGGTTTCCTCCCCTTCTACCTAATTGCTAGCCCTATACAATGCACTCATTCTTCTGGACCTTTTGGCATTGATAACTTCACTGTCTCTTTCTAGGTTATCCTTGAGAATTTCTGGGAGTGTTGATTTGGTGGTCATGAATTTATTTAGGCATTCTTTATAATGGAAATACCTTATTTCTCTACCAGTTTTGAAAGCTAATTTTTCAGGATGTATCAGTCTGAGTTGGCAGCTGTTTTTTGGGGGGGCGAGGGCTAGAGATACTGCATTCAAGATCTCCTTGTCTTTGAGATTGGCATTGAGAAGTGTGTTGTAATTCTGGTGGGTTTTCCTTTGTAGGTGATTTTTTGCTTTTCTCTAACAGGTGATGACACAATTGTGACAGGGTTGCAATTCCTGTGGCTTTTTGCTGGGCGGCTCTGATTTGAATTGATTATCCCACCAGCTTGTACCGCCGTGGTACATGTATGACTGTCACATTGGATGGCTTGAACCATAGGAAACATAAAACCTAATCTTGTCTTTGAATACAGTAATGCAGATAAGGAATTGATTTAGAAGACCAAGTGTCATCATATTGCAATTCCTCAAGGAAAACATTAAACTGGTATGAAAATGTTGATACAGCTGATTTGTGGTACAGCAGCTGTAAATATTATATACGCCATATATATGTGGGCAGTAATTACTCAAATTCAAGCAACTAACTAGCTTTGGTCCATTTAGAGACTTTTTATTAATTTTAGCTGTAGAAAGACTAATAAAAGTGATTTATACCAACAGTGGTCCAAGCTGTCTGCCTGATGGGACAGTCATGCACCGTGGTTCATGTCACTCCATGGGGCAGCCGTGCATTTCCATTGGTTTTGTTTTGTTTTGGTTTGGTTTGGTTTTTTGAGACAGGGTCTCACTATATAGTTGAGACTGACCTGGAACTCACTATGCAGCCCAGGCTGGTCTCGAACTCACAGTGATCCTCCTGCCTCAGCCTCCGGAGTGCTGGGATTACAGGCGTGAGCCACTACCCCCAGCCACGGAGTAGTTTTTCTGATCATAGCTATTCAGGGTTCTGTACGCCATACTTATCTCCATGTTAAATTCTCCTTCCTCATCTGGAAACTCTGCTAATGCTTCTGTGAACAGGTTTTTTAATGCCCTTTGTGCTGCCTTAGGATTTCTCATTAATTCCTATGAGTCTTCTTTGAGTCACTAGCAGCGGTTGGGCACATGTTTCACGTTGGCTTGTTGTCTTTTAGGCGTCTCTCTGAATTGATCATTGGTCTGACGCTCTACCCTCACATCGCTTCTGCAGCCCCCACTCTTAGTCCTGTTTTTAACCTCCTGGGTTTCTGTCCGGAAGGTTTTTATGGACTCCCTTGCTTTTCTCTGCTGAGCATTTGTGCTTTGCATCACTCTCTTTAGTTCCTCTAGATTTTATTACTGTCTTTTCTAGACCTGCGGATCATTTTGTTTCTTTAGGGCCATGATCCATTTGGTTTTGATCTCCTTGAATCTTCCAAGTACTGTTTGAACTTTTTCCATCCTGAGATACTGGTTCGGACTCTTCCCTGTGTGGTTTAGGACTTCCTCCCTGCAGACCCCCTGGATTGGCTCTGACAGAGTTGGGAGCTGCTGGATGATTTGTTCTCAGGTTTCTCATTTTTCTTCTCAGGTTTCTACTTTCTGTTTGTTTGTAGCTTCTTTAGGTGCCTGGTTCTTTGGAAATGAGCCACGGTATTGTTTATGACCATGCAGCTGCCCCGTAGTGATCTGTGGTAAACCAGACCACTAGATTCGGTCAGAATCAGGCAGGGGTGCGGGAGCTCATCAGTCAGACAGACTAGGCACCTCCTCCTTTGGATTCCTCCCTCTGCAGGCTGCACCCCCCATTCCTGGCCCCACCACAGAATTCTTCCGGCCTCTGGGTCTTCGGGGCGAGCCAGAGCTCCTTGTGCGTCTCACCCTCTCGGTGCCAGTTTCCCGTGGTATCTCTCACCGGTGCCTGAGTATCGTAACACTTTGGTGCCGAGTGAAACTGTCCTCCGCGGTGTTGGTTTCCTCCTCACTCAGGTCGGTTTTGTGGTAGTCAACTCTGCCGCCCTGTGCTGAGGGGAACCAGGAGCAGAGCCGGCAGAGATGGGGTGCAGGAGGCTCTCAGGTAGTGGGGGCCTTTAACGCTTATTCAGAAGAGTGAGAAATACAGTTCCCAAAGCCCTACATGCATCTGCTTAGATGTGGGAATCCCAGATATAGTTTTAGAATTGTCAGTTTATGCACAGTGCAAAACAAACACCCAAAGCCAAGCCAAAGTCAACATTTGCTTTCAGTTTGAGTATGTGAATCTCGACAGACCTTGGTTAGTTCTTTTCTTTCTTATTCACTAAGTTTCTGTTATTCACTTGCAACACAGGCAGTTTAATTTGTGACTATGTAAAACATTGGCATGGTTCCCAAAATAAAATGAGTGATGGAGTGAGAAAAGAAGTATTTG